GACTGATCCCCGAGCACAGGGCCAGGAGTAAACTATAAGCACTGTTAGATGTGGCCCACCTTACTCCCACCCCACCAAAATAAAAAGATGGAGAAACAGGAACTTCTTTGAATTCTCTGCATCAGAGCTTCTATTACCTTCAGTAATCTTTATTTTTTTTTTGTTTTCTGGGCCACACCCGGCAATGCACAGGGGTTACTCCTGGCTTTGCACTCAGGAATTATTCCTGGTAGTGCTTGGGGAACAATACGGGATGGGGGAACTGAACCTGGGTTGCCCAGGGGCAAGGCAAAACACCCTACCCACTGTACTATCACTCCAGCCCCCACCTTCAGTAACCCTTTGATCCTTGTTTCCTATTCAGTAAATTTTGGTGCATTGAGGAAACTTGAGTAAGATGGATCCAAGGATGAGAACCCAATTCTCCTATCACTGATCTCTTCTCAAATTGGGAATTTACACCCAAACCGCTTTTCTTAAGGCAGATAATGGTTCAGTATTTGGTTTCTTTAGATCAGCTTTGCTTCTGAGGATTGTGCAAACAGGAAGCAGAGGACAGGATGGATGATTTGCAGGGTGACTGACTCCTCGTTGTGAAGGACAGATGCCTCCTGGATGCCAGGTGATGGGGACATGGCTGTAAGCCAGTCCATGCCACCGAAGACATACAGCCTGGAGGTAACATTCATCACGCATTCGGAGTACGCTGAGAGCTTGACTCATTGAATCCCGAGCAGGTAGGTTTACAGAAATAAACAATCTGCCTGACCCTGGAGGCTGAGAGCCTGAGAGCCCGGGGTGAAATTCGGGCAGGCTGGTCCAGCCCGTGTCCTTAACCTTGGTGCTAAAGCTGAGTGATCAGCACCACCAAGCCATGCCGATGAATATCCGGGGTGCACAGAAGCAACCACCGACCCGAGTGGGGGGGAGGGACGGGGAGATTCAGAAGTAGAAAATTAGCTGGGAGAAGTGGAGAAGGGGAACACCAAGGCTTCAGGGCAGAAGGGAAGTCAGAGAGAGACTCCCTGGGTGCCACAGAGAAAAGTCGAACTCATTACTCACCTCCCTCCAAAAGACGTGGACATTTCTCTTTCAGATGAGCCAGGGAGCTGGGGAGGGGAGGGTGCAGGGCTGCGACGGGGAGAGAGGCCAGGGGAGAGAGGGCAGCTGTGCTGAGTGAGATAAGGCAGCAGTGCCCACCTACAGCCGCCCTAGGCTTTGGGGGCCCTTTTGATTCTTTTTAGCAAGGAGCTGCCAGCAGGTCTGTAGGGAAATCATGCTGAATAGCTCTCTCCCTCTCCCTTTCTTTGTGTGTGTGTGTGTGTGTGTGTGTGTGAGAGAGAGAGAGAGAGAGAGAGAGAGAGAGAGAGAGAGAGAGAGAGAGAGAGAGAGAGAGAGATTTCCAACAACTGAGGCAGATCTGATGTCAGGACCAAAATCCTCTGAAACAGGGGCCAGAGCGATAGTACAGCAGGCAGCAGGTAGGGCATCTGTCTTGCACGTAGCCGACCCAGGTTCGATCCCAGGCAGCCCATATAGTCCCCTGAGCACCACCAGGAATAATTCCTGAGTGCAGAGCCAGGAGGAACCCCTGAGCATCGTTGGGTGTGACCCCAAAACAAACAAAAATCTCTGGCACAGAGATTCATCCTTCAATACTGGTATGCGGACGGTCTATTCAACCCAGCCTCAGTTGTCATGGGTATAGAATGTCCAAGGAGGGACGTCAGTGGTGTAATGAATGGGCCCAATGCAATGACATCTGTTTTGGGGTCACACCAGCAGTGCTCAGGGTTTATTCCTCAAAGATGACAGCCTCAGTGTCCGGGGTTGACAGAGATATCTGGGACCACGTGTGCATGCCTGTGTGTGTGTGTTGAGTGGTGCCACGGATAGAACCCAGGGTCTCAAGCATGGCAAAGCAGGTGCTCCACCACCAAGCTACATACCCTGACTTAGAACATTTTTTTTTTTTGGCAAAGCTTTTCTCACTTTAATATGTGTGTGAGAGATAGTACAGCAGGTCAAGAGCTTGCACTTGGCTAATCCGGCTCAATTCCCAGCACTACATATGGTCCCTGGGGTACCACTAGGAGTGATTCCTGAGCAAAGAGCCAAAAGTAAGTCCTGAGCACTGCGAGGTGTGGTCGCCAAACAAAAAAAGGACTGGAGAGAGATTCCACTCCAGAACCAATAAAGTCCCCTAAGCAATGTCAGGGGTTACTCCTGAGCACCAGCAGGTATGGACATCCAAACTTGGCCAGAGTACAGCAGGTAAGGCGCCTTGCCCGTGGCCAACATGGATTCCTATCCCGCTACTCCACATGTCCACGGAACACTGCCAGGAGTGATCCCTGAGCACCACTGGGGGTGGCCCCCAAACAAACATAAACACTTGACAAAATTTGGTTTGAGATCACACTCTCCCCCTTCTTTTTTTCCTGTAGGGAGCAGAGGCTGCAGCTCCTGGGCTGTGGTATATATGTTACCAGAGATCTGTACTCTAAATTTAAAGGGCCTCATCGGCCAAGTCCTTGCAAACTGTGTGATCTTATATGAAATGAAAGCCATCCCAATGGAGAAACACTCAGTAGTGTTTCTAGCAGTGCTCTCTACTCTATGCCTAGAGTATTCCTCTTTCCACCCTGGTCCCGTCTCTGCTGCTTATCTCTGATGATACTCCAAGCATCCAACAACAACAAAAAATTTGCAAAACAACTGTTATCTCAAGCAAAATCACACACAAAAATGTGATCTGACAGACTCAGAAGAGAAACAGTAAGGGAAACAGCGATAAGGTTACTGCCAACAGATACTGACTTAAAAAAAAAAAAAGGACAAAGTGAATATTCAAACAGTGAGGCCATCAGGAAAACTGTGGAAGAACCCAAATATTCCAGCAAAACATCCTTTGATTACAGGGCTGGGGTTGGGGTTCAAGAGACAGGCAGAGCACTTGCCTTGCGAGTACAAGACCTTGGGCTCAATCCCCGGCACCACATAGACTGGTGGTCCAGGGAATGGCTCTGGGTTTCCAACTCTGCCAGATGTGGTCCTCACATCTGGGGGGAAATCCTGATCATTGCAAATATCCAAGTGGAATGACACTGTAGGCTCTTTCCATCATGGTTTTGCTTGAGAAGCAAATTCTTGATTCATTCTGTTCATTATATTTGAAATCACGGCATGTTTCTATAATTTTAGTTTATGATGAAAGCTGTTATGACAGGGCTGGAGCGATAGCACAGTGGGTAGGGTGTCTGCCTTGCACGCAGCCGACCCAGGTTCGATTCCCAGCATCCCATATGGTCCCCTGAGCACCGTCAGGAGTAATTCCTGAGTGTAGAGCCAGGGGTAACCCCTGTGCATCGCTGGGTGTGACCCAAAAAGAAAAAAAAGAAGAAGAAAAAGAGCTGTTAAGACACTCCCTCAACCTCAATCCTACCACTATGAACCTTTGGTTCCAGGGTCTGGAGCGATAAGGTAAGGTGCTTATCCTGCATGTGGCTGACTCATGCAAGTTTGGCTTGATTTAATCCCCAGTATCCCATATCGTCCCCCAAGCCCCACCAGGAGTGATCCCTTAGAACAGAGCCAGGAATAAGTCTTGAGCATCATTAGGTGTGGCCCCCAAAACAAAACAATCGCTCGCTCCAAAAGAAAACAAAACATTTTGGTTCCCACTTGCAATGAATTCACTTTCCTGATTCTGGTGTCGAGCGGTTCCTCCAGCTGAGTAGATAGCTTCACTCTCCGAAGTCTGATTTGTCGTTCAGTTACCTGCCTGTCTGGGCACTCGTGCCTGGCACGTAAAAGCGACATTGTCCTACAACTGTCTGATCCTTACGGGAGCTGCTGATATAGCCAATGTGATAACGGGTCCTTTTTCTTTAACCTGCAAGTCACCAAGGACAGAATGCAGAACCTGGGGTGCTTGGCTGCCCCATGGCTGCGGTCATTCCCAGCTGCCAGCCAGGGCCCAAACAGCGCAGGACAAGAGCGCAGCTGACGCTCGAGATACCCTCACTGGCCAGGACTCGCAACCCACCAGGGCACCTGTCAGCATTCCGACGCCAGGAAAGGAAATGCTCCCCCAGAGGCCCTAAAGACTCAGCTGTGAGACCTTGTGGCGCTTTAGTCCTGTGATGCAATTCAGTCGTTTGAAGAGTATGTCCAGGGCGTGAGACCAAAAGGTCATAGGATACATTTGCTTAACTGACGAGAAACCACATATACATTCCACCTTCTGACCATTTTAAAATCAAAGATCCACTTCCTGCAGGTAGTCTTAGAATGTTAATGCCGAAAAGCACAAAGGCCTATTCAAATAAACTGCATTTTACGGGTGGAAAAACGGAACTATGGGGCCAAGGCTCGGTGAAACTTGTGCTGTGAAGCGTCAGATAAACAGCTCAGGCTACGCAGGTCACTACTCAGTTCTGTCTGAGTCACTAGTCGGCTCCGTCTCTGTTTCATGGCTTAAAAGAAACATGTACACATGCAGCTGTGCGCTGGTGAGGCTTTCTTTATGGACCCCGAAATGGCCAGTGTACATTAGTTTTCACAAAAATATCATTTTTGAACATGTAAAAAAAAAAATTTTTTTTTTTTTTTGCTTTCTGGGTCACACCCAGGGATGCACAGAGGTTACTCCTGGCTCATGCACTCAGGAATTCCTCCTGGCCGTGCTCGGGGGACCATATGGGACGCTGGGAATCAAACCCAGGTCGGACACACACAAGGCAAACGCCCTACCCACTGTGCTACTGCTCCAGCCCCAAAAATGTAAAAATCTTGAGTGGTCTAACAACGGAGTTATTTGGCCTTGGGACCTCAGCTGCCGATGCTGGACGGATCTCACACGCGTGGCCTGCTCTCCCCATCCTCGCAGCTGCATCACCACGGGGTCGACGTCTAGGAAATGTGAACCAGGCCATGGTGGAGAAGCTCAAGATGTAATGACAAACAAGAGAAACATGCAATAAATCTGAGCCACTCGCTCCATTTTGAAAAATAGGCTTTATTTTGACCAGTGGTATTGTAGGACACCCTAGACAGCACAACTGATTATAGCCAAGTTCATGGATACAAATAAAATAGCAGTTTCCCTCCTTCTGGCTTTAGTTCCCTCTTCAGAGAAGTCGGGAGGAGAGGACGGTGCCCAGGGGCTGCTCTGTGGGCGCCCGCCGAGTCCCGGCCCCTGGAGCCTCCTGACACGGATGGGTCGAATGTGCAAAGACTTTTGTTTCAGAAAGGTACAGAGCAGTGTTTCTGGAGGAAATCACACTAGCGTCCGCCACCAAACACAGCTGATAAGGTTCATCTTGCTGTGGACGGAGGGTTTCGGCGGGATGGAAAGGAGAGGAGGCCTTTGTGCTCATTCTCTTTGATGAGGGGGAGGTCCCCAGGGGGTCCCCGCAGCCTGCCTCGGTCCTTTTAACTCCAGGTGACTCAGGGGTCCTGCCAGCTGCCCCCGGAGTGCGCCGGGAAATAAAAACCCCTGGGCTCAAATACGAGACTGCCACACAGCCAACAATGGAGGAGGCATTCCACTTCCTTATTTCACAAAAGGTTCAACTCTACCGGCCTTCTGTGGAATAAGGTGCCTGATAATCAGAAAATTATGAAAACAACTCTTCTCCACCCCTGAGGATATTTTCTTCTTTATAAAGTTGAAAGTACAAAGTATTAAAATAATTTGCCCTTTCTCCCCATCAAAAAGAATCACTTTCTCAAAAGATTCCTGCAAAATATAAAATTCTGAAATAAAATTGATTTCTTCCCAAACCAAGACCGAGAAGTCAATGGTAAGCTGCCAAGAAGACCCTTTCCACAGAGGGGTAGAAAAGACACAGGACTTTTGCTTTTGTTTTTCAATGACCACGTTTAAACAAAGATAGTGAAGGGATTTCTGGCCTCGTGGGTTTTTAGTTTTCACTTGGATTTTCGGCATGTCTTAGCGTCGGTTACTGGGAGTGAAGAGAACAGCTTGTTTTCCAAAGTCTGACAGAGTCCCGGAAAAAGCCCTGATCTTTCCTGCTGACAACTCCCCGAATACAGTTCGCGCAAAACCAGATGGCAAGAATGAAAATACTCCGCGGCTCTCCGTTCCCTATCTTCATAGTTTTCACATCAAAAGCACCTGGAGGATCGATTGTGATCAACACAAAATAGCATCGGGGGGGGCTGGAGAGAGGATGATGTCACCAGCCGGGAGCGTCAGCCGAGGTGACACGGGTTTCTGAATTACCCAAGAAGAAGTCGTCACTGGCAAACTGGCCTGGCACTGGGGCCTCCCGCGGAGAACAGGACAAGCAGCTGTGCATGCTCAAATAGCAAGACGTGCAGAAACACACTGTCACTCTGCTGGGGGAAGAGAGCACACGGGGGGAGAAGGGGGGGGACACCGCGGGCCAGGGCCAGCTCCTGACCGCGGGGGCCAGTCCCCACGGAACCTCTGCACTGCAGGAGAGGAGGAAGCGCAGAAATGGCAACAACACCTGGGGGTGGGGGTGGGGATAGAGCGAAGCACATATCCGCATGCTCACACATGCACACACGGTGCCGCTGAAGACCGCCCCCGCCCGGGGTCACTCCGGGTTCATGCGTGACTCCCTGCCTGGTTCAGAACTCCATCTGCGGGGCTCTCGGCGCTACCTAGACCCTCTTCCTGCTCTGGCAGGCACCCACAGTTCCAGATACGCCTGCTTGGTTCCGAGCCCTGGACAAGCGCACGTGAGCCAGGTGGTCCTTTTCCGCCTTCAGGTGGGAAGCAGTCAGGAGGGGAGCCTTCCCTCCCGGCCACTGTGGGCTGTAGCCGGGGACTCCCCCTGATCAAGGGCGGGGGCTGAGGCAGACGGGCGGGCGGGCGGGGGGAGGAGGGGCGGCGGGGCAGCCACAGGTCCAAATGGCAACAGCACGGCTGGGGTGTGGGAGAGTCACTGATTTTCGCTTCGCTTTTCACAGACCCCTACTGAGATGCTGACTCGCAAGAAGAGACGGTGGGTGGTGGAGGATCGGCAAATCCACGCAGAGTCACTGGGACCAGAGTTTGCTCCGAATTGCTCACTGACTCTCCCGCACTCAGACACACAACACACATGCACACACGCACGCACAAACACAGATATACACATGCACGCACACATACACGCACGCGCACACCCTTTCCACCACAGAGGAAATCTTTGCAACAAGAGGCACTTGAATGATATTTGGAGAGTTCCCGTGGAAAGGCCTTCCCCTCACAGTGAGGTGCGACGGACGGATCGGCGCTCAGGACTCCATCTCTTCTTGGTCAAGGGGAGGCGGCACGAAGCTGATAACTTCATCGTAGGTCAGGCCTATGGACACGGGGAGGGAAGTAGGAGGTGAGACTGCTGTCTCGACGGGGGAGATCTCCGACCCTCTTCTTCTCCTTGCTGGGCAAATGGCCTCACGGGCTACTGCAAGGACCTGCTTGGGTGCTAATGTGTGATATCCCGAGAGAAGGTTCATATATGCACAGAAGTACACTCTCTCTCTCTCTCTCTCTCATTCCTCCGTTATCATCGAGTCTTCTTTCAAGCTCTTGCAGAAGCTGCTCAAGAATAAGAGTGTGTCCTCACAAGCACAGCAAAAGGAAGCCCTGGCTTTTGAGGTTTAACTGAAGTTCTGTAATAGTATTTTATTAAGAAGAATATGAGATCAGACAGAGGAGAAATGGCTTCCATTTCTAAATGTATCCCTTTTCTTTCATTCTCCCCCCCCCCCCCCCCCCCCCCAGCGATGCTTCGGGGCTACTCCTGGCTTTGCACTCAGGAATTACTCCTGACGGTTCTCTGGGGACCATATGAGATTCCTAAGATCGATCCTGGGTCTGCCGCATGCAAGGCAAGCACCCTGCCCGCTGTCTTGTTGCTCTGGCCTGGTCGCCACAATTCTGAGAGCATGAAAATACCCTATTCTCTGCTTATCTCAGAGAAATACTGTAAATGGAAAGAGTCGGAACACCAAAGCTACCAGCGCTGCCTGTTGCTATCGCCATTGGCGACGTTCTATATTCCTAAGCAGCTTCGACAGAGAGCTTGAAAGAGTGAGAGACTCAATGGTAAAAAAAAAAAAAGGATGTGAGGGACTAAGAGCAATCAGAGCAGAAACCCACTTCAGAGACCCCAAGATGCTCACCAGCCACAACAGATCACTTCTGTATGTCCACTGTGTATCAGAGACGCTAGTTATAAGCTTTAGTGAGTTAATGATAACCACTCGGAAATTTTCTTTTCCCTGCTCAGGCTCACCTAGGTAAAAGTGCTAAGCCTGGGAGCCTGATGGAATCCTGCCCGCAGGACTTACTTTTCCATTCATCAATAAGGAGGTCCCTGCTTTCAAAGGACTGATCGTAAGGGTCAGCCACGGGTTCGTCATCAGGATCATGGTACTGGGCAAAGTAGGCGTGAGCAAGGGCTTGGGCTGCTGTGATCCTCTTATCTGAGTCCAGTACGAGCATCTTCTCCAGCAAGTCGACAGCTGTCAGGAAGCGCAGATTGGAAGGGGAGGAAAAAACAGAACAAAATTTAATGTGTCACCCAAAGAGCATGCCTGTTTAAGTAAACACACCGTTCTGACCTTTTACACCTAAGCAAAGAACTCTCCAAGTTTCTGGCCTAGAGGCAGTATTCCTTATTTTCTCGTGTGTGTGTGTGTGTGTGTGTGTGTGTGTGTGTGTATTTATTGGTTTAGGGTGAATCTATTACTTCTAAAAAATAAAAAGGTTTAAGAACAGATTCTGTTTGAACAAGCTCTGTGGGATGTCAGCATGAAACTGCTAGCACTGTAGTAGAATTGTGAGACATGAAAGTCTACAACTAAAATAATTAAGATGTAGGAAGGTTTAGTTTTATATAATTTTTGTCTCCTTTCACTATTAATATCAGAAATAAACTTGCTTAGTAGTCTTCAAAATTTGCTAAGCAGATCTTCAACACGAACAAGCTGAGTATTTTACATGGGAATGCAAAAGAAAGAGACAAAGAGAATTTTCCCGGGCCAGGGCAGTAGTACAGCAGGTAGAGAGCGCTTGCCGTAGGTCCCTGGCAGCCCATGGGGTCCCTGAGCTCCTTCACGAGTGATACCTGAGCTCAGAGCCAGGAGTAACCCCTGAGGACAGCTGGGTGAGGCTCTCCCAAAACAGAATTTTCCTTAAAAATTGTTCACTCTAGGGACTCCCAGGACAGTATAACAGCTAAGACACCTGGCTTGCATGTGGCGGACATAGTTGACACAGGTTTGATACTCGGTACCCCAGATGGTCTCCCAAGTCCCACCAGGAGTGACCCCTGAGCATAGAGCCAGGAGTAAATCCTAAGCATGGCTGGGTGTGACCCAAAAGCCATTAAAAAAAGAAAAATTGTTTAAGGGATCAAAGAGACAGGTCGGGGATTAAGTGTCCTTACATGCGGCTGACCCCAACTCCATCCAGGGCACAACACAGGGTAGCCCTGGAGGCCCCAGCCCCAGGCCCCCTCCCCAGCCCTCGTGGCATGCTCGGTTCTGAGACTGCAACGTACTTCAGTGTGAAGGGGGCAGGAGTGGACACAGGGCGGAGGGCAGTCTCCTGGGGGACGTCTACTGCTCTGAACACGGGGGGCAGCCGAGACCCTCCCGTGCAGTCTGAATTTCAGAGGTATGCAGTGAAACATGCACATAAGAAACTCATAACTTTGTATTTCATTTGTGCATGCATGCGGTTTTGGGTCCTATCTGGGAGCGCTCTGGAAACCAGATGGTGCCCGGGATCAAATTTAGCCTCCTGCATGCAAAGCCCGGCTCGGTCAGTTGAGCCAGCTCTCTAGCCCCTTAAGTTTGTATTTGAAAGCTTTAGGAGGATTAACTGGATTCTCAGGAAAAATAAATAAATAAATAAACAAACAAACCAGACTAGCTATTGTTTGGGTCACAAGGAATCTTTGCCGTCCCTAGCAGAAAAAGAACCATGTTCTTAAAAAAATCAACAGCTTGATGAAAGCAATCAAGTCAAGGGTGAGAATAAGATTTCTCTGGGATGGAACTGGCTTAGCGGCCAGTGGTGCTCACAAGGGTGAGGCTAGGAGTCTGCACCTGGGGTCTGCCCACGGGGGCCGAGTGCAGTACCAGCAGCTCCCGACAAAATGCGGTCCCCAGCGCACAGCTTTTACATAGGACAGTAATTGCAAGCCTGCCACTGAAAAACCAGAACGTGCTCAAGGACCACAACTGAAATGAGAGACCCCGGCAAGGACTGGGGACAAATACGGAAGCAGCCCCATCAAGTGTGTGTGGGCCCTTGTGATTGCAACAGCAGCAACTAAGGAAAGGGGCTGGGGAGGGGGGAACCGGGGTGGGGTTGGGACACACACAAGAAAAGGACAAACTTTCCTCTATGATTCGCCTGGCTGTGTGGGTCCGAAACTTCTGTCCTTCGTCCTGCTGCTGCCTTGCTGGGCACCGCTAAGCCCCGGACAGATGCAAACACAGGGTATCAAAGGGCAACGGAACATTCAACCCACGTTCTGGGAGTAATGATGAAAAATGAAGTCGGTGACTGAAAAATACATGGCTGTGAATGGTCACGATGCAGATGTATTTCTGTTCTGTTAATGGCCTGGACATAAGCTTGTGATAGTATTATGCTCTGCCTACAAGAAGAGACTCTGTGATGTCACTGTTTGTCAGTGAGCTGATGGTCACGTTTTAATTCTCAGAACTGCTGTGCCGAACATCAGGTGGTCCAAAGCCTCCATTCAACTCGTTCACCATCCATATTTCTAAGTGACATCCAGTTCTGTACAATATTTAAGTGCGATAATGCTGGGAAAATGACACAGCAGCAGATGTACGTGACCTATAAAAAGCTGCATACATCCTTCCACCCCCTTGGAAAATGAACAGCCACGTCTCTTTGAGACGGCTACCAGGAAGTCCAACAGTGACGGTTATTATCAAGTCCACAACTTGAACTGCGGGAAAATAATTCAGAACAGGATGACAGAAAACAAAGTTTCCTACTATTTACAAAAAACATCACTGCTCGACACCCCAGTGTACCTACTACTTAAAGAGAGCGACTCACAGATCTTTCAACTAGAAGATAATGGCTGACGCAAGTCATACAAAACCAGGGAGAGAGCACACCAGGGCAGACACGACCTCCACCCATCCTAGCTGAGCTCCAGGTGTCCCCACCACAGGGAGTCTTTCCCATGACAGTCACTCGGCTAAGAGCTGCCAGGCTCCCTCCCGGTCTTACAGGCCAATGTGGGCTCACTGACAACTGCCAGACACTTGAGAGAACAGGAGCGTCTGTGCTATCGTATGAATTATCCCAAGAACATCCACACTCCCTCTGGATGAAGGGATTAAAAATAGGGAGGCCACTCAGCCTTAACCATAAACCTGAACGTGAGACACAGCCAGTGGGTGGGGTCCTGAAGTGAAGGGCTGAGCCACACACACTTGAAGAGATACAAAAAAAGATGTAAAGACATACCCGTCTAATACAGCACAGAGAAACCGGAGGCTGGCTATGTTATCATCAGCTGTCCTCCTAGGAAAAGTCCTGGCCTGATTTCTCCGTGTCCACCTTTAGATGGCACTGCCCACTGCACTGCTTGCTCCTAACTGGAGCATTACAGCGTCAGCCAGTGCCTCTTTCAGGGCCAAATAAAGCACACGTGAGCGCACAGATTTAAGGAACAAAAGTTATTTCAGCCGAGACAGTACTGATTCCATCACTGCCCACGTCATTCCCCCTGGCCAAGGCGGCAGGAAGGAACATGGAGCCATTCCTGGAAATGTGAGGTGGTAAGTTATCGCCACAAAGAGAGAACGGTTAGTCTCTGAGGGGCAGAGGAAAAGACAGGAAGGAAGAAAAATCTATGGGGATGACAGGAGCCATAGCATCAGGAAGCTCCAGGCAGAGCAGGGCACAGTGTGAGGAGCCCCTGGGTGGGGCCTCTTGGCCTAGCAGGGCTTTAGGTGTTTACAACCCTCAGGTTGAAGACACCAGAAAAATGGTACCAGCATGAATGAGAAACAGGCTTTCCACTGTGCCTTTTTTCCTGGGCTATTCAATCTTTCCTACCAACTCTCCTAATTCTTTCTCTGCTTTCTTTGCTTTATCAGCCCATTTCTCCCACAAAATTATGTGATTATAAAATATAAGCATGTTACGTGATTTAAAAACACCCTTGACCACCAATCTGACAACACAAAACACAACAGAGGCATTATTTACCACCTTCCAAGATTTCATTACTGGCAACCTTTTAGTCAAATGAAACAACTCAACCAATTAAGTACCTACAAGATGAGGAGGCTACAGTCAACTCACCCAAGGGATTGGCACCAATAAATACATTTGCAAAGTTCATCTTCGGCATCTGGGTCAAAGATTGAATGTAGTTTCTTGCCTGTAAGAACAAGGGTATTCAAAATGATTTTATTCAAACATTTGACAGGTCTTGAGTCCCATCAAGGAATGGCTGGTAAGTGAGCAAGTCTCCTGGCTCCAATGTCAGACTGTGACTGACATTCATTAAACACCCGTCTTACTACTGCCAGCCTACCCTCCCTACAAGCCCTTTACTTCTTCTATCTTGAAGTTTTATTTCAAGTGAGTGAGCATGAAGTTAACTTTCCTGCCATTAACTTTCTGGTCAGAGGGTCAGAAATCTGAAAAATGAGGTCAAGGTATCTAAGAAGTTGCCTATTGGAGACAATCTTCTGAAAAAGCTAGAATTGCCATGGGTACCACATTCCAAAGTACCTATTGAGGTCCGTGTCATCAAGACGACGCAGGTCAAAAATCATATACCAAAGATCATGCATCTCTGACCAGCACCCTTTTGATATTAAGGGCTTCCGTGGGTACAGTAAACATACATCGATAGTAAATCTTGCTAAGAAAGTAAATATAAGCTCAGAATATTATTCCAAGAGGCTTGAGCACATTTAAAAGAAAAACAATCTATTACAAATAGAGTTATGATACCTTCAGTCCCTAGGGTGGGACAAGCTTGTCTGAGCTGTCATTCTCATCACACTGGGCATGTTACTTTTTTAAGCATATAATAGTGGATGACAAATGATGTGTAGAAATCTGTCACTTGTAAGTCACATCTTTATGAGCAACTATCAACTAACGAATCAATGATCTGACCTGGAAATACCAGGGCTAGGTATTAGTATTTGGTTTGCCTTCTTCACAGCGTTAGTGTGATATTCAAGGGACAGAAAACTCACGAAAGCACTTCAGACAAAAATTCCAACAGAAACAATATTTCTATTACTAACAGAGTTGTAGTACCTTCAGTCCCTAAGGTGGGACTTGTCTGAGCTGTTATTTTCATCACATTGGGCACGTTACTTTTTTTTTTTTAAAGTCTTAAATCCTCAATTGTAAAAAAGTTTAATGACAGAGCTTCCTCTTAAGATCGGGGGTGAGGATGAGCAGTAACACGCCAGCACTCCGATAGTGTATTTATTTGGTTTAGTGTGAGTTCAACACACATCAGCCACCATTACAGCTGCATTTATGAAGTAACATCTGCTTGTTTCCTTGTCTCAGAAACATAACTGTTTCTAAACCTCATTCTAAAGAATTTAGGGTGCCAAGGACTGATAGCTCTGATTAAGGCAAAACAAAAACCTGGTCTTGAGAATAATCATGTAACACAGAGCTCATAAATGTGCGCTTCAGCTATTAAGTGATATTTCAAAGAAAAAATTCCACTATCAGTCCATCCAAGATCAAACATCTTTTAACCTACCTGAACTGCCTCAAGATTCCTGTTATAATTCAGCTTAATAGTTGTGTGCGTGCGTGTGTGCGTGCGTGTGTGTGTGTGTGTGTGTGTGTGTATGACACACACATATACACTCAAACACACATAAAAGGTTAGAAAGTTTTGGTTGCTAGAGCAGCTTCGCCTTCTTGGGCTTCCACGCGTGCAGCAAACAGGAGAGGTGCACTTTGAAAAGCAGCTGACAATTACGATTTGAAAATAAAGTTCCAGGTATTGAAGACACGCATGGCTGTACCCTCTTCCTATGTGAGCATGGAGATAAAGAGATGAAGGGAAACAGAGGCAAGAAAGACCGGTCTCAGGCAGAGAACAGTCATCCCTGTAATAATATACAGAGATAAGTAACAAGGCGGCCTGCATAACTAGAGCTGAGACAGAAGCAAAGCTGGGGTGGCCTCTATCCTAATTCCCCTGGACAATTACGGGCATCTGAGAAAGAAGTGCCCTAATCATCTCTGATGACAAAACCAGTGTTAGGCTCAACAGTTAGAATCAGTAGAGAAGGGACTAAGAAGGAACCTAACTCTTCAGTGTTCGTATTTATTCCACATTACTTGTCTCTTTTCTTTTACATGCCACCATTACAGCTCATTACATTAATAATTTTTCATTATTAATGTCAGCATATAGCTTTCTTTTCTTCCTTTCTTTTTTATTTTTAAACAGAGAGAGTCCTCTCTGGGTCATTAAAATAAAAATGAATGAATGGGAAAGTATACACCTCCAGCCAAAAGTCATTAGACAGTAGCTGTATAATTACAGGCATAGAAACTAGGAAAACACACAGAGCCGCTTGAACACTGAATTCATAAAAGCCCCACGTGGAGGGCGCCTTGTATTCCATGCACAAGGCTGTGACTTTATATTCCAAGTCCACAGGAGTGGACGACATTTCCTCCCAGGGGTCACCCTCTTGCAACGGCACCCAGCAGCCGCTGCCTCAGCCCTACAGGCACCTTGCAAGTGTTCAGTGCCCAGAGAAACCGTGTTGGTTATGCGGTAGAGACAGAACGAGAAAGTAGCCTTCTGCCTGAGAGCCCTGCACAGCCCACTCATTCTCACCTCGTGGCTTGGCATCCTGTTAATGAGATAAGCAGGGGGTGTCCCCGTCAGGCGCATAATCTGCTGAAGCTGGTTAATATCTTAGATGCCTAGTCAAGGGCATTGTTAAACATACATTGCAAAAAATAATAATAATAGTAATAATAATGATAATAATAACTTGCAACTCAAGTTTAAAAAAAACTCAAAAGTCACCCCCAAACAAAAAGCCTAATCCCCACCCATTCCACCCACACCAGGCCAGAGCCCAAGGCTGCTTGGCAAAGCATGCGTGCGTCTCTGAATGGCGGGAGAGTTACTGGGCTTGTAGCCGGCAACTGGCTAAACAGATAAGAAAAATTTATGCTCTTTGGTCTTCGCAACATCTTTACTGACAAGAATTTGAGGCTCCCAGGAGAGAGACTGCCCCTCATGCCAGGATGCCAGCCTGAGAACTATGCTGCAGGACTGACGGCCAGAACCCTCTTGCTTGTGGGCTAAAGGGAGATGATTTAGAACATCTGTATCCAACTTTGGACGAAATATTCAACACGTTTTATTCCATTCCAAGAAGAGGCTGAATTTCTGTGCCATAGGTTCTGGTGATTCTCCGAGGCACCATCTGTCCAAATGTGCGATGTAAGTGGGTGTGTGGTTATGATAAACAATGTCAAGTGCCACAGATGTTAGTAGTGGAACATTTAACACACACACACACACACACACACACGTAAACTGAAGGGAGGAGAAATGGGGGGAACATTAGAAACCAATGGCATAGACAAAGCCAAGTCTTGGGCTGCCGACAGCACAAAAGTTGCCACAGATATTGCAGCATGCCACAGTGATTTCTCTCACCACCCCCCTAACGGGCAAAGAGATGAACCTCACTTAACACAACAGCTGGGAGGAAGTAAGTCTGCCCCCAAGCTCAGCAACTACCTGACAAGGGCAGAACTGTGAGGTTCTCCATATATAAGTTTTATTCCAAACTTCTCTTAGTTGCTGCATGATTTTATTATTTTTTTGTTTGGGGGCCAAACAGAGTGTCACTCAGGGGCTACTCCCAGCTCAATACCCAGGGGACCACGTGCTGTGGGGACTGAATCTAGCCTCCTGCATGCTAGCCTCCAGCCCACTGCCTAGATTTTGAACATGATTCTCTGTCCAAAAATACGGTAAGGGCTGTTAGTTTATCGTATGTTCCTATTAGTGTAGAAGTGACAAATCCCCCAAGAAAATCAATGAAAACCTTTTTATGTTAATTCTCTCTTCCAGTTGTAGCATCATTGTCTATGAATGCCTTGGTAAAGTAATTTCACTTCATTGCGGATGCCTTAATAATTTCCCCTTTTAAGCTTCTCCCCTAAACTAAAATCCAGTAGTGGTCAGATTACAAATATCTCAGGCTGGCCATGAGTAATGAGTGTGGGAGTGATGCCGGGGGAGGGGGTGGATTAGGGGGTCAGACGCCCTCACCTGCCCTTCAGGCTCCTCCCTAAGCCCAAACTCAAAAGAGAGCATGGGATTCTTTTTAACGGCCTCACAATGACGTTGAGATGGAAAATTTCAATATTTAAATACACTTTAAATATTTGAATACTCCAAATAATTTTCATTTTAAAAGTCTTGTACAACAAATTACAGAACAAATAGTATTCTACATGCCAAAAGAAAAAGCAAAAAAAATGGTCGCTAAGCAAAGCGGCAAGAGCAGACTGCAAACTGGGGTCCACAATTTCAAAATTCTGCCATTTCTCTTCTTTTCTCTGAATGATACTGGGGCTGTATGTTTTACACATTATTTTGTCTCCTTAAAAATGGTTGTCCTCTCCCCTTCTTGTCAGAAGACTGGGAAGAAAACATTTCTACAGAAACATGTGACCGTGAGTCGCTAGAAGGGCTTACTTAGCCTCCTATGATTTGGGGGAACTCTTTTACTGTAGGTCACCAACCCAAAATCCTCTCCCTTAGCCATCCCTCATCAGCCACTGTCCCCTCCCACGTGGCACATGCCAATGTCTCCTCAGTCAGCACCCCTCACCGTGCCCTCTTACTCAGAAAGACCTATTTACGGACTGAACTGTTGCAGAAACGAAGGCATCGCCACTTCCTCAGTACTTTCCAGAAACCATAAAAATAGCTGTTGCCTCTCTGTTTACTAGAGTCCTTTACAAGGATTTTTTTTAGTTGAAAAAAAAATCGTTAATTTGCCCCCATGATTTTGCGATTCACCCATTTTGGTGTGTTCCACATATCATGTGCTTTTTACATAAACATGTACCTGGGCAGTGACACTAACACCAAATTGATTTCATCTCCCCTTTGAAAAGTTTAATTTACGTTACGCCTTAAGCCATCCATCATTTATCTATATAGACAGGACCCTGGGAAGGCGCACTTATTCTTTTATTCAATGCAGCATTACATAAGTTCTGCATTCTGGTGCTCAATTTTACTATGCTGTGTATAAACCATGAAAGGTAGGCACCGTCTTATTATCTTATTTCACTTAAGATGGAGACACCTTATTATCAGGCAGGGATCTTGGTGTTGTTTATTAAAATTAAATGACTGATGGTAGATAGACACTATTTTGCCAATACCTTTCCTTTTAGGAATGCCTGTGACTGAGCACATCTCTTTAAGGCAGATGGCTGGAGGTGGGAGAGGGAACGGAGAAAGGGCTGACAGGGAAGACATTTGTCCTCTCCAACTCGTTATGAACCAATACACAGAACTCCTTCTCATTCCCGTCCTCTGGCCCCTCCATCCTAGCCGCTGATCTTTCTAATAAGCAAATGCGTTTACAGCCGAATAGCACTATCCCCCTAAAAGCGTTTTCTCATACCTTTGATTCATTCCAATCCAGCTTCTGCATTTCATAAAGCAAAAGAAAACACCTCTTTCAGGTTGACATTGCAGTCAAGAACTCTGACAATGAACTTCCAAATACAGTGTGCAAACGGCCCGAGATGAAGGCTTAGGCCGTGTCATCAGGACATCTGGGAGCAAGGCTCAGCTCTGCCAAGTGACTCAGTGCATGATTCAGCCAAGCTGCGGCCTTTCTAGTCTTCTGCTTCCTCATTGTAAGTAAATGGAACAAAATCAAGTAGGGCCAGTGCACTCTGAAACCCCTCCGTGTAAATTAATAAACACACTGGACTTCGTGGTCATTTTAAGAAACGTAACAGATGATTGTCGGCTTCATGTTGTCAGCGAGATGATAAACAGTTAAAACTCACCTGCTCCTGTCTGCCTGACGCCACCCAGTGGTTTTCCCAATTGGACAAAAGGAACCTGTTCAGCCAGAAAGGCTGGAGGAGAATCCAGAAGGGCACCAACGGAGCTGGGTCCAAGACTATTTTTCTCTTTTATCCAACTGCCTGGCACCAGGCAGAAGGGGAAATGGGGCAAAGGTTGGGCTCTCATGGCTTTGGCCACATCTTTGGTCCAAAAAGTGACCAAGAGCAGGAAACCGCAGCCCAGGAGGCGCTGAAGCACCTGCTGCTTCTTAGCCCCTGCTCCGAGGCAGGGAAGCTGCAGCCCAAATCTCTTACTCGGGTAAGCCACGGCGTAGTTACAGAGGCAGGATGTGGGAGGGGGCGTTTCTAAGTCTCCTCAGTGAGGCTAAGGAAACAGGAGTTGGACTGTCTCCTCTGATGATAGGCCGGCTGGGCAAGGACATAGCTCCGCTGGGCACGGACACCTGACAGAGCACGACAGTGACTTCCGGAAACGAGCAACAGTGTGCAGAGATAAAAGACACGATCCTCCCTCTTAGTGCTAAAGCCAGATTAATACAGGGTGAAGCTCATGCCGTGAGAACAGTCACCAGCACAGAGTGGAAAGAGCCCTTGGGTGCCTGTGAAGCTTCTGAGAGAGATGCAGTCAGAGACGCACATTCCCCATTAGTCTCGTGGAAGGAAGTGGAATCTTAATTCGCGTGGACCGAGGACTCCCCAGCACAAACTCCCATGACCGAAGCACACACCCAGGTAGAGAACGAAACACAGCCATGCATGTGAGTGGGCAGGCGCACACGTACACATGCACGCCCGCATGCTTGGAGCACGACCAAGGGCACCCGTGCGCGTACCAACCGACTCAGCCCAACTGAGGACAGACGGAAGGAAGGAGAGGGAGTGGCACACAGAGGCTGCCGACGGGCAGAAAACGACAATCAAAGCGTCAACTCACAGACTCTGAGGAGATTTTCTTCAAAAGCTCAGCCCCTGGGGTTCCAACGAGTCTTAAAATGAGCTTCAACTGATCAATATCTAATGGTGGACTATAAAGGAAAATGTTGGGACAAAATAAAGATGGAAAAAAACGAACAAAACAAACGGAACAAAACGAACAACATAATCCAGAAGGAAAAAAAATGAAAATTAAAATCCCAAATCAAGCCCAAACGGTGACTTTGCCTAGGCCCTGGCACCTGCGGGATGGTGCCTCTGAGTAGAACTGCGTACAGAGATTCAACACCCTCCCCTCCCCCCGACATGCAGCTAACTCACAGTCCTGTGCGCATCTGTCCATCCCAGCTATGAGAAAAGAGCAGCACCTTTTGTGGGGGACCAGCGGCCAAAGGGGGCAGCCAGCGAAAACAACGAAGCTTCACTCGGTGCAGAGAGTCAAGTCAGCACCTACCTCCTTACCTGCCCAGGAGGCATCAGGAGTCAGAGAGGTCAAGAACATCCGGAAACCGGGAGAGAGGTAAGAAAAAAGCAGCGAAGCGCAGGCCTGGGGAGGCGGAGAGCCTGGGCAAGACCCCGAGGTGAGGATGCCTCTAGGAAAGCTCCTCCCGCCGACCTGCAGCACCCGGGAGGGAACTGTGGGGGCCCAGTCGGCCAGCAGAGGGCCCCACGCCTCCACTGCAGCTCCCTAACAGCGGGCAAAGGGCTTCACTCACTGTAACGGTCTGGGTTTTGCTATGAGGACATATCCAGAGGGGTTCTCGGGCTCAGGCTTACTCCTGGATCTGCACTCAGGAATCACTCCTGGAGGGCCGGGTAAGGTGTCAGGAATCAACCCAGGTCAACCGTGTACAGGGCAAGTACGTTACCCACTGTGTGATCTCTCCAGACCCCAGGTGAAGTTTTAAGCCGATGAATGAATTAACAAAACCTAATAATACACCCTGAAGGCTTTAAATCGAAGCTCCCAATCAGACCGCTCTGATTTGGCCCACCACCAAATCAGGTGGGGGGGAGCAAATCGCTCCATACCTACCTTCCTTAAGTGATCAAAGTGCCCCCCAATTGTGCACAGGGATTGTACTGCCCCTTCTACCCCCCCCCCCCCCCCCCCCACACACACACGTGATTTCAGCACTTCCCAGAGGATAGCAGTCCAAACTTCAGGAAACATAGCTGTCTGGCCACGTTCCCAAGTCTGGACTCTGGTCGCCAACCTCCCACCTATACTCAGAATGATGTGCTCTTATTAACTAGGAGGCAAAAACATCTGTTCTTACAGCTTTCAGCCTTCCCTGAAAAGAGCTAAGTTCAAAGAAAAAAGTGTGCGCGCGCGCGTGTGTGTGTGTGTGCGCAAGACATCTTACAGCTTTCCATATATTAAAATTTTGATGGGGCTGGAGACACGGTACGGGGGGGGGGGGGTGTAGGGCATTTATTTGCCTTGCAAGTGGCCAGTCCAGGTTCGATTCCAAGGACCCCATGTGGTCCCCCGACCAGGAATAATTCCTGAGCGCAGAGCCAGGAGTAACTGCTGAGCATGGCTGGATGTGGCCCGCCCAAACAAAATCAATTGTCCACATTTAACTCCACATTCGAGAGGAGAAGGTTCCCTCTGGATCCTTGGCCACTTGGCCACTTAGTCCTGTTAGGTTTCCCACAGGCTTGGATCCTTCTGACTTCAGTTCTCAGTCTCACCTTCAGCCCCTCTGAGACCTCCCCTCATGCTCCCTAAAGAAGCCTGCCCACCTCCACCTGCTACGCTTCCTGTCTGTGCAATGCTTAGAAGTAGCACTGTGCTCATCTAAACTCACAGTCACTTGGTGTTTTCACTTTTTGTGAGCGCTAGTGATCTGTAGCATTATGAGGGGGCTGTGGGGGTGGGGGAGGGGGAGGGCATTCAACCTGTTCACCGCTTACCTAAAAGCCAGGACATGCTGGGCACTCAAAGTATTTGAGGAGAGAAAAACAGGATGAAGAGGAGGATGGAAGAAAAGTGCTCTGCCTGTGATCAGACATACAAAGACAATGCTACATACCCTACAAACAACAGCTTCTGCATGCCAGGGTTACCTAAGTACAGGAATTACTCATGCAATAACATTACTGGCATGCTGTCTTCTTCTGCCCGCTACCCCCCCAACCCCGTATGAAATTGATTAAATGAGAAGAAAAAGCATTAGCAAACCCTGTTGTGCTGTGTGCTCAGAATAATAAAGTTTTGTGGAAACAGTCTTGCTCACTTTTTTACATGTTGTCTGATTTCACGCTACACAGCAGTATCAAGTAGTTACAACAGAAACCATATGGCCCCAACAATGCGTGTTGTATAGAAAACAAGAACAAATTAAAAATAGCCCACGGACACTTCTTTCTTTCAGAATAGTAGAGAATTTCATCATTAGCAAACAGCAAAAAACAACGTGTACTGGAGGTTAACATTCAATAGTGACTTCTTAGTTGAAGGCATGGACAAGAAAAAAATCAGAGCAAATAATAATAGGGAGAGTGAGAAGGGAGGGTGGACAAACTACCTTATATGATCAAATAAACCGTATGATAAAACAACTTAGCATAACATGCAAAATAACTCCGCTTATAAAAAATTAGTTCTCAGAAGACAGTGTCATTGTCACTCATGATCAGGGAAATGCAAATCAAAACAACACTGAAACATCACCTAATGCCAGTGAGAATGACAAATCACCCCAAACTGGAAACAGTGCTGGCAGGGCTGTGGTCAGAAAGGAGCCCTCATTTACAGCTCTTGGGGATATCTTTCTCATTGGGCCTCTACAAACCGCCATATAGGGATCTCGCCAAAAAAAATAAGGGGCTGAGAAAAAAGAAAAAAAAAAAAAAAACAAGGGGCCGAAGAGATAGTAAGTAATATGCTTGCCAAATACAGTACTGACCTGGGTTCAATCTAAGGCACCCCGTATGGCCCCCGAGCCCACCAGGAGTGATCTCTGAACACAAAGCCAGGAGTCAGACCTTGAGCACTGTCAGGTGCGCACTTTCTTCCCACTCAACAAAAAGGGAACTCCCACATGACCCAGTGGTAACCACTTTTTGGCATCTGCTCCCAAGACAAACATTAAGTTGAAAGGATACATACACACACCTATGTACATCGTACTGCTTAGCACAACAGCCAAGATCGGGAAACAACCCAATTATGGATGAATGGATGGAAAACATGTGAGACTCAACAGAATACTACACAGCTCTAAGGAAGAAAAGAATCACGCTACTTGCCAGGATATGGACAGAACAAGTGGATGTCATGCTGAGTGATGTCAGTCAGAAGGAAACGGACAGATACAGAGTGATCTCTCTCATGTGTGGGAATAACAACAGAGGGCCAATGGCAAGACATGGGAGAACTAGTCACAAAACTGAGTTTTGTGAGGAGGGGGAAGGTTTGAAGGGTAGGACCTCGGGGGAGGGAGGTGGGTACACCGGTGAAGGGTGTGGTGTTGGAATTCTGTATACCTGAGACCATCACTAATAATTGTATTGTAAGTCACACAGTACCTCAATTAAAAAAAAAATTTTTTTTAAGTCAGATAATCTTGATAAGTAAAAGATTAAAGCAAATGAGCTCTCTAGGAATACTTGATGTCTGAGGTCTTTGGTAACTTAACATTTTAGAGCTACTGAGATTATTTCAGGCAAGATAATGGTTCAAGATTTACTAAATTAGACTCCACCCTAATGAAGCTGAAGTCATACAAAACACGGAGCCTTAGTGACTAGTCTGAAGGTGTGTCTTAAATTGTTTTCCAATTCTCCTGGGAAAATCAAGTTGTACTAAGCCCTGGGATTTCAATGAGTACTTTTAAAAGTAGGGGTGTAGATCTATAAAGAGTGTAAAGACCTGTTTCAAGTGAAAACAATAATGGATGGAAATTTCTCTGTTGGGTAGAAGAAAGGAATGCTGTTTTAAAGTAAAATGGAATGAAGCAGTTACAGGACAGAATGAATTCAAAGAATGTGTAAAAGGTTTGATGATTGTGTTTTAGGGAAATAAACTTTGTATGGTCGAGGTAAATTATTAAGAGGAACTTAAATTAAGTTTATTTATATAATAGCAAGTCTGAGTGAATTCAGATTTAAACTTCCTTTGCTAACAGGAAAAAAAAAGTGTCATAAAAGACCAGTGAGCTCCTTCAGACTGTAAGTTGTTTTCGTGCATAGAAAATGAAAATATTTGTTATTAGAAATATTTCATGTCAGTTTTATTACTGGTCTTGGTTTTAGGAAAATTAAAAAATTTTTGCTTCCATGTTTAAATGAGTATTGTTTCGTCGCTGTGTTTTAAAGTTTATAATACCCATGAGACAAAACTTCTGAGAAATCAAAATTCTAAGGAAAAAAATTCTTGGTTGGTTAGAGGGAAAGTAAATGTGGAACATCTCAGAAGAGCCAAAACATCCCATAATAATCACTTTCTCCCTATGGAAAGAGAAATAGCTACGATTCGGGCCTATTTGCTACATAAAGGCTTCAGGGGATGCTTTGCCACATAAGCAAAGTTTAACCTTTTAACAGATAATGTGACTAAGTATTCTATAATTATTTGGAAATCCTGAAGATACTAATACTACTGGTTATTTCTGGATACTTTAGGAATTACAAAATTGAGCAAACTTCCTTGTCAATTAATTGTGCGGTGAGATTTTTTGTAAGGATTCTGAAGCCTTTCTGTCATTTGTAGAATTGTTTTAATGCCTTGTTTAGAAAAGTCTGTATGAAAAACAATCTTGGGGAAATGCTCCAGGGTACAGATTTGTCATGGAACTGAAGATAAAAATCAGAGAGCTCATGGAAAAACTGAACACTTAAAAAAAAATTATAGAACACCAAGATTTTCTACGTGGGACTGAATGAACACTGAGAATAAATTCCGATATATATATGTATGTATATATATATATATATACACACACACAGCACTCTTACACTCTTTGGGCTTATATTATTATTATAAATATATTTATATTGTATAAATATAAGCCCTGTCGAACCCCTCTAGAGTTCAGTATCAATATAATGATATTGAAAAACTCTCTAGAGGG